CTTCCGGTGATCATGTGGATGTGGTGCTTCCTCGGCTGTTGCTCCTCAGAGGTTTCATCGTCGGAGAGATTGCTGATCTCCCTTTTCAGCTTTTCTTAACGACGGTTTCTCCCTCTAATTGGTGTTGGCCCATGTCTGGCCTAACGGGCCTTTGACAAATTGGGAGAGTTGTCCGTGCTGGATTAATTTTTCGATGGCTGTCTTGAGGGTGTAGCAACCATCAGTGTAGTGGGACCTATTCCAGTGTAAACTGCAACATCTCTCACCCTTCTGGATATCATGTACCTGCTGGGGATCCCGCGAATCACTTACCATGAATACTCGCTCCTCCGCATAATCCAATATGGTACTTATGGGGTGCGTGAGGGGGGTCCTTGGTAGGCCTAATATTTTCAGTCCCCTCCAGGATCATAGCCTCGTCTGATGTCCCTCGTAACCATATTCCTCCTATCGAGGCTCCTTATGTTGTGTTTTTCGAGGGGGTGATTCAATGATTGTCTGTTTTCCTTCTCGTCTGTGCTAGGAGATGGTGGGGTCGCCTCCTCTTTGGCCTTTGCTCCTAGTGTGTCATCTGTTGTGGCATGGAGGTCTTTTCGTTGCAAGGCCTTGATGTATGACCTCGGTGGGTCGGTAATGAGGATCCTCGCGTAAGGGTTGGGGCGGAGTACGCCCTGTAGGAGTACGGTCTGTAACGTCCTGTCATCAGCGCCTTCGATCTCCCCTATTTCACGTCTCTAGTGCTCGATGAAACCCCTGAGAGATTTGGCTTTTTTTCTGCTTAACGCTTAGGAGTTGTCAAAAATGCTTCTTGTTGGGCCTCCTGCTGGTGAAGTGTGTCAAAAAACGCCCCGTTAGTCGTGCCATGAGTCCACGCTGGCCTCTGGCAATGCGTTGAATCATTCGTACGACGGTCCCTCTAAGGTGGAGAGGAACCATCTGCATAGGTATTCGTCAGATGGGTTCGTTGTGAGCATGCTATTCTGATAACGAGTAAAATGCTCCTGTGGGTTGGTCCGGCCATCATATGGCTTAACGGTATGGAAACGAAATTTCTCAAGAATGGGGACAGAGAGGACCCTTGCAGTGAATGGGGTCCTCATTCTGAAAAGAACGATGGGTTCATCTCGGCCGTCGGCGACTTGCCTCTCCAAGTTCGTGACCTTCCGTATCGGGGCATCATAGTTCAGGCCCTGTTCGGCTTGATGTTGTTTCGCCTCCATCAGGGCGAGGCGTTGCTGCAGCTGCTGGATCACCTCATCTCGTGGGTTCTTGCTCATCACGGTAGTGGCCTGCTACTGCGTCTGGACCCGGGCAGCATGGGCCTTGTTGATCCGGTGCTTAGCATCCCCTCCGTGCAGCTTCCCCTTTCCCTTGTCAAAGGGACGCCGCTCTGCTGTCTGGGAGATGGACCCCAAGCTATCTCAGGGAGATTCCGGCCTCTTAGAGTTGCCTCGTCCGTCAATCCTCTCGGAGGCTGGTCTCCTTTGGATGTGTCCCAACCTGTTGAATGCCGATACGTGGCCCTGATGCATGTTGATTGACCGCTTCCTAGGGACTGTCTCAGAGGAGGATGTATCCTGGGCGGGGTAGTACCGTTCTAGGAAGCACTTCTTCATTCCCGGCCATGTATATTTCCCGAAGGGAGATAGAATAGTCAATCCTTAGTTGTATTCTTCAGTGAGAATGGAAAGACTCTCAGCTTGATCTGTTCTTCAATAACATTATTCGATTTCATACTAGTGCAAACTATATGAAACTTCGAAAGATGTTTGTTCGGGTCCTCGCCGACCATGGAAGGAAGAGAGTAGATGAACGAGACCCGATTTCAATTCAAACGTAACACCCTCATTTAGAGTAGGGAAGGTGATACACAAAGGTTGTTGATTGAGGTTTGGAGTTGTGAGCTCCTTCAAGCTTCTTGTCTCGAGAGCCATGTGAATAGACTCTTTGGATTCGCTAGAGCTAGTGTTTGATGATTTCTGTGAAGGTGTATGTGGAAATAAATTTCGCAGGAGATACCATTGAACCTGAGGGGGTTATCACCCTCAAGATCCAGCTCGGATCGGAACCCTATGTAAGGGTTGTCGAGACAGACTTTGTGGTTGTGCGGCTGCCAAGTGTACACAAAGCAATTATTGGCCGGCCGACCACTTCTGGAAGACCTCGGGGCTATCATTTCCTAGGCTCATCTGTGCCTAAAATTCTACAGCCCAGCAGGAGTGGGCACAGTAAGGGGAGACCAAAAAATGGCCAGGAGTTGTTACGTGAGGGCTTGCAAGGCCCATGGAAGAAATGAAGCAAGAGTAAACGCCATCGAGCAGGATTTGTCGAAATTTGAAGAAGGGAAATTCAAAGCCCAGCCTGTTTCGGAGCTTGAGGAGGTCGGAGTCGATCCATCCCGGCCAGAATGCCGGATTAAGATTGGTACAGGGCTTCAAGCCGACCTGAGAGCAAAAATAATCGAAGTCTTGGTGGAGTTCAGGAAAATCTTTGCTTGGGGGCCTGAGGACATGCCGGGACTCGACCCCAGCATAGCAGTTCATCATCTGAACGTGGATCCAAAGGTTGTTCCTGTCAAGCAGAAACGCATGTATTTGTCTTTGGATAGAAAAGAATTCGTAAAGGGGGAAGTAGCAATGTTTTTGGGCATCAAGCAGATTAGGGAAGTTCAATATCCAGAGTGGCTTGCCAACGTGGTTTTGGAACCTAAGCCACCCACCTGGAGAATGTGCGTTGATTATACGGACTTGAACAAAGCTTGCCCAATGGATCCTTTTCCCCTGCCGAGCATAGATCAGCTAGTGGATCAGACCGCTGGATGCGAACTCCTTTCATTCATGGATGCATTCAGAGGGTACCATCAGATCTCAATGCACCCGGATGATGCTAAGAAGACCTCGTTCGTCACACCTGAGGGAGTTTTCTGCTACTTAGTCATGGCCTTCGGATTAAGGAACTCGGGAGCTACCTACAATAGGATGGTATCCAAGGTATTTCGAACAGTTCTGGGAAGAAACATGGAAGCATACGTCGATGACATGATCTTGAAGAGCCAGAAAGCAACTGACCACGCAGAAGATCTCAGGGAGGTTTTCAGCATCATGAAGGAGGTAAATCTTAGGCTTAATCCTAAAAAGTGCACTTTCGCGGTCCAAGGAGGAAAATTTTTGGGTTTTATGGTGACAAACAGAGGAATCGAACCTAACCTAGAGAAGCTAAAAGCCATCTTAGACATGGAACCCCCCAGAAGTGTCAAAGAGGTCCAGATTTTGACCGGGAGGCTGGCAGCCCTGGGGAGATTCTTATCCAGATCGGCGGAACGATCCTTACATTTCTTCCAAATCCTGAAGAAAAGTAATGGATTTCAGTGGACCCCAGAATGCCAAACTGCATTTGAGGACCTGAAAGCATATCTACAATCGGACCTGCTGCTCAGCAAGCCTGAGGTCAGCGATACCCTCACACTCTACCTTAGGGTTGTAAACGAATCGAATAAATTTGATCCGATTTGTGATTCGAATTCGAAATTGATGATTCGAATTCGAAAAAATCGAATATGAATCCGAATACGAATCGGTTTTAGTATTCGAATAAAATGCGAATACGAATACGAATATACATGTATTCGATTCGTATCTTATTCGAATATATTCGATTCGTAATTAATTTCGTGCATTCATTAATATATTTTTCTGAAGTAATTGATTTTTTGATTAATTGATTTTACAATGTTTATTTATTTGAATGGGTTTCCGTTTGATTTTTTAAGTAGCTGATTTTTTGAAATAGTTCATTTAATAGACATATTTGTGAAAACCGAAAAAAAAAACATACAATACATCATAATTTAAATATGTGATTTTTTTTACACTACAAATATTCGAATTCGAATTCGAATTTTCGAATACAAATATATTCGAATATCATTAACGAATCGAATACGAATCTATTATAAGATTTGAATAATATCCGAATACGAATACGAATATTCGTCAATTTATACGAATACGAATAATTTTACTCATTATTCGATTCGATTCGATTCGATTCGTTTACAACCCTACTCTACCTAGGGGTGACACAAAGTGCCATCAGCTCTGTTTTAGTGCGCGAAGAGGGAACGGTGCAAAAACCGGCTTACTACATTAGCAAAGTCCTTCATGGGGCTGAGCTCAGATATCCAGCCCTGGAGAAAACCGCGCTAGCAATATACACGGCGGCCAAGAAATTGGCACACTACTTCCAGGCTCATCCAATCAAAGTGCTGTCAGACCTGGGAGTAGGCACTTTGTTCAAAACGGCTAAAACAGCCAGGGTTGTAAAATGGTCACTGTTAATCAGCCAGTACCAAGTAAGTTTCCAACCTAGATCATCAATCAAAGGCCGGGCCCTGGCAGACTTCCTAGTCGAATGTACTGCCCGGGACTTGGCTGAAGAAAAGAGACACGAAGAAGATTAGTGGACCCTCATGACCGATGGATCATCATCAGGGTCCAAAGGTTGCGGAGGAGGGGTGGTCCTCATCACCCCGAAGGCTTCAAGACGTACCATGCCCTCAGATACAAATTTAACCTCTCTAACAGTGAAGTTGAGTACGAGGCCCTCCTGTCAAGTCTCAGGATAGCAATCCACTTCAAGGCACAAGAGTTGAGGGTCAAAGCAACTCTAAGTTGGTTATCAAACAACTAAGAGGGGAATACGAGGCCAAAGAAGAACGAATGAAGAAATACATGGATACAGCCCTGGAACTCATCAAGTGTTTTGAGGAGTCAGATATGATATGTGTTCCTCGAGCCTAGAATAGCGAGGCAGATATTCTATCAAAACCGACTGAGGGCGCACCTGAACATCTCATGCGCATAGCCCGAATATAGGAGCTAGACAAACCTAGCATCGAGGCCACCAAAGACCTTGAGGTTTTCTCAGCCGAACAGAAACCAAGATCCTGGGTTGAAGAATTGATAGAATACAAGGACGGAACATTACCTTCCAATGAGGGTGTTGAGGTTTATTCCTTCAACCCGTGGACCCAACACGTAAGCCCAAAGGTTTCGAATGGGGTGGATGTATGGTTATCTAGCCCAACAACTATTAGATGAATCAGGAAACAAGAGTAATAGCAGGCAATGTAAATAGGTATTATTAACTTCGTAATAACTCCCCTAAGTACAATCTACTTGCTCACAAAGGCACGTCGGCCGTTCGTCTTACAAGGCAGTTAGCAATGCTGCGAGTAAGAATGCTGAAGCTAGTATGCTAAGAATAGAAAGTTGCCAACCCTTTACAATGAAATAAATGCTCCTATTTATACCCGCCAATGGGCAGGTGGCTGTACTGACGTGGCAGCCTGTGGACCGCTGGTGTCCCAACTACCAAATCTTTAGCATTAAATGCACTTCCCGCCAGAATCTAGGTTTCCCGCCGGAATAGTGGGGACGTTCGTCCACCCGGGAAGTGAGTTGGATTCCTCCAAGTGACCCTCGAGGGATATTGGCTGTTCGTCTCCTGGCCTTGATGGATTCTCACCATGTGGGCTGGGTCTCCTCCGATGACTATGGGCTTGCTCAAGAGACGTTCGTCGTCACCCCTGATGGCCCGTGGCTCCGCTCCTTGTCCCTGCTTAGACGCTCGTCGGGATGAGCCGCTGGACCTGAGTCCTCCAACACCAGACGTTCGTCCATGCTTAAACTACATGGGCCTGTGGGCTGGCCTAGTTTCTAGCTGGACGATCGTCTGGCAAAATGGGTTAGTGGGCCGGACCTCGGCTTGGGCCCTTAACCCAACACAAGTCCCCCACTTCTGATGTTCTGAGCATGCGCAGGACATAAGGAAGTATGAACCTCCCCGAGGTAGACGTCCGTATCTTGATACTTGTGTTTCTTGCACCGGGTGGAAGCGTACGTTCGTGGTCATGGTGCTTGACAGCTGTTGGCGGTTCAGGAAACGAGGTGACGGCTGATGTTGCGGCGGCACATTTTCCCGAGGAAGTGTCATCATTACGTTCCCATCCCACGCACAGCGCGTGGGCCGGGATACGCTCCTTGCCACGTGTCAGCCCCTCATTGGTTTCTTCATCGGTGCTCCTCCTATAAATGTTGGGTTTTCCCTCTGAATTAGGGTTCCCAATTTCTGCTCTCCTGCTCTCGACTTTCCGCAGCTCTTCAAGTCTTCTGAATCCGGCTAACCCCTTTGTAAGGTAATTTCCCCCCTCTGCTCCTTTTCTTGTTCTGATTCCTAGCCGAGATGACCTCGATGGAGATTTCGTCAAGCTCTGATTCCGGTTCGTCGGGTTCCTCCTCGGGCTCCTCTTCGGCCGATGTGAGTGCTCGCTCCCCCGGGAAGGCCAGCATTTCCGGGACCTCTGGTTCAGCCACGACGGTGGGGACCATCCGGGCTGATGGCGAGCCGGATAATGTGTCGCAAAGTAGTGGGAGCGACGCCGGGGACGGGGGTGCTGACGGGGCCGTAGATGTTATTGACGCCGTCCCCCTGAACGAGCGCCCCGCCGGTTATGATTCTGCAGACGAGGCCCAATCTGGCTCCGACCTGGAGGTGCACGATTTAGGTATTCCCATGGATGTGCAGAGGCACATTTGCAAGATTAAGAGTGTCTTAGAGCACAGGCAGTCCCTCTCCAGCGTCGCTATGAACAAGATTGCTTCCTTTTTTCCCCATCCGTTCGTCTTTAGCCATAGCGGGGGCCGAACATGCCATGCGGCGACGGCCGGGGATGATCATCCTGCATGTGGATTCTGTGGAGGCCGGTCTGCGGTTCCCTCTCCATCCCTTTTACGTGGAGTTCTTCAACTGCTACCAGGTGGCTCCGGCGCAGTTCATGCCCAACTCTTATAGATTTATCTCCGCATTCCTCGTGCGCTGTTCGTCCGCAAAAGCCGTCATATCGCTGGATCTGTTCCACTACTTCTACCGGGTCACCCCGCAGAATTCCGACGGTTACCTGAGTGTGGCCGCTCGTCCGAAGAGGAAGCTATTTGAGCACTATCCTTCCTCCATCCATGATTGGAAAAATAGGCTCTTTTTTCTTAGATATGACGGTCCTCCCCTCCCAATCCGGTGGAACGGCTACCCTCCGAAGATTGAGTCGCCGGCGCTGTCGGCCGGGCTGGAAGTGGAAGTGAAGAAAGTCCTGGAAGGCGGCGTTCGCCCTATAGGGGAATACCTGACCGTCGAGGCACTCTCTGAAGCAGGCATAGGTACCGCCCGTGTTCCTGGATTTCTTCCTCCCTTGGACGCTCGTCTCGGGGCACGGGCGGTCCTGTCCTCTGAGGTGGGTGTTCCTCCCTATCCCTGTTCGTCTTTTCATATTTTTGTATTTCTCTCTTGCAGGTCTCCCCCTTTCCGCCGAACAAATGGACAATGCTGAGTGCCTGAGGAACAGGAAGGCGAAGATGGCTGCGGCCAAAGCGGCCAGAGAGGCAGCCGCCCATGGAGCCGGATCATCGGCCTCCGACGCCGCCCGTCGGACTGCAGACGGTGAGCAGCACCTGATTGCCACCCTGCTGAACGAGGGGGCCCTGACTCATCATGCTGAAACTGCTCTCCCCCCGCCGGTCGTTGCCACAAAAGTGGTTCCCAAGAAGGGGGGCGAGAAGGCCCCGGAGAAGAAAACGAAGAGGGGGCGAGACTGTGTTTCCTCCGGCCCCATCGTTGAGGATGTTAGCGGTCTATCCCTGAGCCGGCCGGCTGAGGAGCTTTGGAGGGAGCTTGGGGCTAAAGCCGGCCTCGAACTGCCCCCCCGGTCGTCTTCCGAGGCGACCAGCGCTGCTCTTGCTGCGGCCATCCAGGTATTGTTGTGATTCGACCCATCTTGTTCCCTTTGACGCTCGTCGCTTCGCCGTCTAAACTCTGTTTATCCCATTTTTTCTCTCAGTCAGGGCTGTTGGTGCTGCAGGCCGAAGCTGCCAGGGATGCCGCCCTGCAGGAGGCAAAGATCAAGGCCGAAGCCGCCATACTGAAGGCTCGGGAGGCCGCCCGTCGGGCAGAGGAAGAGGCTGCTTCGGCTAGGGAGGAGCTTCAGTCTCTCCGGGTTGAAACCGGCGCCCAGTTGGCCTGCCTGGAGAAGGCCGGCTTCAAGCTCATGCCGGTACTTCCGGCCCCAAAAGATGCCACCCCCGGAATGGTGCGTCAATACCTCCGGTTACCGGAATACCGGCGAGTTTATGGAGTCGGCCAAGGACTTCTGCGCCGGGGCTTTTGGTGACGTGTTCTCTCATGCTCTGGGGAAAATTCCGGCGAAGGAGCGTCTGAGGTTCGGTGTGCGGCTGATGGAAAGCTCCCCCCTGTCGCGCCAATTCCTCTATGATTCTGCCGATAGCGCCTTCGCCGGTGGCTATAATGAAGGGATCAAGGCCATCCTCCCAATCTTCGAGAAGCTCCTAGGCCCTGGCGTCAACCCAGCCGATCATACGGATGACGATCTACTGATCGAGGCCCTGGGGAAAATAGGGCGGGATAGACGCCGGGCGGCGGCCATAGCCATGGGGGATATCCCGGAGCCCCCAACCCCTGAGCCCGAGCCTCGGGAGGAGGAACATACTCATGCCAGCAGCCGACCGCCGTCCCCCCACATGTGTTGATTTATTTCTTAGCTTAGATTTATTGCAGTACGTAGACTTGTAGTTTCCAGCCGATAGTGCTGAAGAATAAAGATCCATATTTTGCCAAAATTCGTTCCCTTTGTCTCTTGTTGTATGGAAATTCATTCCGTGCCTCGAAATGTTCTGCTGCAAAGTAGTTTGTTAGGACGTCCATCCCTGCTCGTCATTTGACTTTGGGCAGGGACGTCTCCTTGCCCCCTGGCAACAGCATTCTTGACGACGGTCGTCGGAGGCTGTCCAAACAGCACATTTCCCAAGCGTGAAGTACGTTCGTCGGGAGCTGCCTCAATATTTCCTGATGATGTCCGTGTATGGTTGTATGGAAAGATGTGCGTGCCCTATTGGTAGCATGGACATGACCCTTCTGTGCCCTTCATTGTTGACGTAGTACGGAAAATTCCTCCGATACCTCGATACCGAGGCCGGCCTGCCGTCCACACAGCATTTTTACAATCGGGGGGCGTCCGTCGGTAATTGCTTCGATGGTACAGTTCTCAAGTGCGGACATATGGATGTGTTTCCCTGGAGAAGCGTCAGGTGGCGACGTTCGTCTATCGTTGCGTGTTGAAATTCGGTGACCGGAAAGACGAGCGTGGTCGGTTGATGCGTGTGTCCTCGATGTTATGGGCGGCCGATGAACTGTGCAAACGTGGGAAGACGAATGTCTCCACAACCCTCCTGCGGGGACGTCCGTGGCATGGATCCGGATATCTTCGTGGTGGTTACGCGGCGACGAAATCGAGGTGCTTAAATACCGTGGTAGGTACCGGTACCCAGGCACCACGTGTCCCGCTTCGGTTGGTGTGTTCCGGCGGTGCTGCCTATAAGTATTCAGAACCCATGTAATCCACTCATTCTACTCCTTACGCTGCATAATTGTCTTCTCTCTCTAGGTTTCTCTCAAATCGTACCGGAAGTCCCAATTCCCAAAAGGTACCGTTCGTTGCCATGTCTTCTGAAAATCGTTTCGACGATGGCTGTTCTTCTGGTGATGACTTGGAATATTATGAGCGGGGAATGCCACCCTGGCCTTCCCGTTATAGCCTCAGCTTTTCGTACGTTCGGCGTCAAGTTCAACGCCTGACGAACGCTGACAAGCGTCTGATCAGCCAATGGTTCTATCCTCCCAGAACCTACGACGATCGGCGTCTGCGCAACCCCATGCGCCATCTGCCCGGCTACGTGGTGGTCCACTTGGATTCGGTGGTAGCCGGGCTGAACTTTCCCCTGCATGGCTTCCACTTGGAACTTTTCAGGGCCCTCGAGATAGTACCCGCGCAGTTCGTCCCTGCCGCTTATCGGATAATCGCTGGCTTCATCATTAGATGCCACAGCGTCGGTGTGACCCCCACCGTGGACCTGCTGCACCATTTCTTCCGGCTGTCCCCATTCGGACGTACGGGGTATTTGACCCTGATAGCCCGTCCGTCCATGGTTCTCTTCTCGAACAATGCCGGGAATCCGGACGGATGGGAAGAGCGTTTCTTCCTAGCCGGGGTAGGCTCACCGATGCCATTCTCCGACCGGTGGAATGCTTACCCGGTGAAGACGATCCCGCCGCCCATGACGGACGAGGAGCTTGGGTATGCCAAGCGCATAGCCGGACTTGGCATCCAGAATCTCCGATCGCTGGTGGCCGAGCCCTTTAAAGCTCAGGCTGGGTTAGGTGCGTCCGTTTGTACTTGCCTTGTTTTAACCTCTCTTCGCTGTTATGGTTCTGAACGCCTTGATTCCCTTTATGCAGGAGTTTTTCCATCCACGTCCACCATGCGCCGAGACAATGCCGCTTCGTCTGCCGCCGATCGTGGGCACAGAGGGCATGACAAGCCCGGGAAGCCGCTCGTCCCCAAGGTTGAAACTCGGGTGATTCGGGTTCGGACCGAGGATGATTTGGGAGCTGGTGCTTCCAAGAAACCGCGCGTCGAGGGTACTGCCTCAAAGGCCATTATAGTGGCCGATGATTCTGATGGGGAGCCCGGAAGTCCCCTTAAGCGGAAGCCCGTTTCTCGGAACAAGTCCCGTCCTTCTCCCCCACGAACCTCTGACGTTCGTCGTCTCCGGGATAGTGATGTCCAGACTGCCAAGGATTCTGACGATGCTCGTCCTCCCTCGCCCCCGGAGACCAATGGGTCCTCCCTTGGTTTGATTGAATTTTCCGGGGTTGGCCCGCGCAAGGAGTCGATGATGCTCTTTGGCCAAACAGCATCCTCTATATGGTGCGGCCTGAATCTCAAGGTCCCCCAGGATTTTGCTGCTCAGGAGGCCCCCGAAGATCTTCTGGAGTGTGGCCAGAGTACTTTGGACAAGGCCGGGCTTTACTTCCACAGGGCCCGGATGGCCTTCGAGCACCAAGGCAGGGAAATGGCCAGGGTGCGGGCCGAAAGCGACGCCCTTCTGAGGAGTGCAAAAGGCAGGGCCGGCACTCTTCAAGAGAAAGCCGATGCCTACGATAAGCTCGTCCAGGAGAATGCCTCTCAGAAGGAGCTCCTCAAGAAGCAGGAGGCCGAGCTTGTAGATCTGCGCAGCCGGATGTGGGCCGTAGATAAAGCCAAGGTGGAGCTTCGCCAGACGGGCATGGACAATCATGTCCCTATTTATGAGGCCGATGTTGCCAAAATCAAGGAGTCTGGTTCCATTGCCTTCCAGAAGTCCAAGGCTTATACTGGCGCCATCCACACTATGGCCATGAAGTTCCTCCCGCGGCTCGTCGGCGAGTTCCTGGCCACCTGCCCGGATGCCTATCAAGACGGGGTAAAATTGCTCCAGGCCACGCCCACCGGACGTCGTTTCCTTGACGATCTCGCCGATGACACCTACCGCAAAGGTATGATTGGGCTAGTGGCGGAGAATCTCCCGACGTTTGAGCGTCACTTTGGGGCTCCCTTTGATCCGGAGGCGGCTGGTTTCGACGTCTTGATGGCAGACGCTCATGCAGGGGCCCTTGAGCTGCTGAAGGAGCAGGAGGAAGCCGCAGCTAGTGACAAATCCAAGCAGGCCCCTTCCCAAGCTCCAGCTCCGGACGCCGATCTGCCGTGATTCTCTGCTCATCATCTTGTACTCATACAATTTTTCATTATTTGTGTTGTACTCTAATACATTGTAATTTTCCGGTCAATAGTGCCGAGGAATAAAAATCATTCTTTGCTCCATGCTCGTCTGGCATCTTTTTTTTTTTTTTTTTTTTTTTTTTTTTTTTTTTTTTTTTTTTTTTTTTTTTTTTTGGAGTCTTTTAGTCTTCGTTCGTCCTTGGTCCTTGGCCCTACCGACGTCCCTACTTCGAGGAGACGTTCGGTATCCGCAGACATCACAAGGAGGAACAGGTTTATCTACATCGAGATTCCCCCCTTTTTTCGTTCGTCCGTGGTTCTTTAGCCTTACCGACGTCTCTTGCTTCGACGAGGACGCTAGGTACCCAAAGAACTCGCAGGGACGAACGGGTCTACCCTCACGGGTCCCCAACTTTGTTATCCCACGTCCATCGATCCATGGTCATTTGTGGGATAAACAGGTTTATCTTGGCAGGCTCCCTTGGTTCGTCTAGCCCCCTCCGCGTCTCTACTAACCTCTACATCGAGAGGCGTTCGTCTTCGGCGGTTGGAGAAGATCTGGCACACCCGGACAAGATTCCCTTCTTCATAGGAGCTACCCTCCTCTTCTCCCCATCTCTTTTTTTTTTTTTTTTTTTTTTTGAGGGAGGCAATCATAGTCTTCGTTTGTCATTGGTCCTTGGTCCTACCGACGTTCTTACATCGAAGAGACGTTCGGTATCCGCGGACATCACAATGAGGAACAGGTTTATCTGCATCGAGATTCCCTTCTGCTTCGTTCGTCCTTGGTCCGTGGTCCTACCGGCGTCCCTACTTCGAGGAGACGTTCGGTATCCGTAGACATCTCAAGGAAGAACAGGTTTATCTGCATCGAGATTCCCTTCTGCTTCGTTCGTCCTTGGTCCGTGGTTCTACCGGCGTCCCTACTTCGAGGAGACGTTCGGTATCCGCAGACATCACAAGGAGGAACAGGTGTATCTGCATCGAGATTCCCTTCTTTAGCGGTCGTTGGCAGAACTGAAATGATGTAAAAAACAGGGGGCCTTTATTATTGACGACGTCCGGTCGTTTTACATGGGAGTGGAAACATAACAAGGACATCAGCCTCTAACTATTGATAGAACTTTTTCAGGTGTTCAACGTTCCACATCCCGGCATGGTTCCCCTCCAGGGTATGGAGGAGGAACGTCCCCTGGTTGTATCTTCTGATGACCCGGTAAGGTCCCTCCCAGTTCTTCGCCATTTTGCCGCCTTCGAGCGGCTTGCTCTTCTCTCTTTTCCTGAGTACGAGGTCCCCGGCCTCTATTTCGCGGAATTTCACAGCCTTGTTGAAGTATCTCTGGGTGGCCCTGTGATACTCTTCCATGCGACGAGCCGCTAGGTCCCTCCGTTCCTCAATGAAATGGAGCTCTGCTCGTAGGTTGGTCTCGTTGTCTCCCGGCTGGAAGTGCTTGGTACGATGTGTAGGTACCAACACCTCCGTCGGCACCTTAGCTTGGAAGCCATAAGCCAAGGCGAAAGGGGTTTCCCCGGTCGCCGTTCTTGGCGTCGTCCTGTACGTCCACAAGACATAATTCAACTGCTCCGGCCAGGTGGAGGTGTAGTCTTCTAATTTCTTCTTGATCCCATCCATGATGGTCCGGTTCATGTTCTCCACCTGGCCGTTGGCCTGCGGGTAGGCCACCGAGGCCTTAGAGTGCCTGATGCCCCACTTTGCCAAGTATGCCTCGAAGCCCCTGCCGACGAACTGCCGGCCATTGTCAGTGATGATCTGCTCTGGGATTCCGAATCGGCAAATGATGTTCTGCCAGACGAACTTCTGGCATTGGAACTCAGTGATGGAGGCTAATGGCTCGGCCTCGACCCACTTCGTGAAATAATCAACCGCCACGATTACGAACTTCCTTCCACCAGCAGCCGTTGGCAGAGGGCCCAGCAGGTCTATTCCCCACCTAGCAAAAGGTAGTGCGATGGTCATTGGGGTGTAGAAACTTGCTGGGCGGCCAGGGACAGGTGCATACTGCTGGCATACTGCGCACTTCCGGGTATGATTGAAACAATCTTGTTGTATGGTCGGCCAGTAGTAGCCTTGCAGGATGATTTTTCTGGCCAAGGTCCGGGGGCCCTGGTGGCTGGAGCAGATCCCTTCATGTATTTCTTCGATCACTGCCGCCGCTAGGCTCGGCGGGAGGCATCTGAGGTAGGGTCCGCCGAACGTCTTCTTGTAAAGCTGCCCATCAATGAGTTCAAAGTTAGGGGCACGCCTCTTGATCCACGCAGCCTTCCCTGTACTGCCATCACCTTCAGGCTCAGGGAGTGTCCCATCTCTGAGATAATCTGCTATCTCCCTTGCCCAGTTAGGTTCGGCAATGGAGATAACCTCCACCTGGATGACGTCCGTCGCTGGTGCTGGGAATATCTCCTGCCTGACGAACCCTCTGATGTGTCGGGGGATGCTCGATGCCGGGTCATCGGTTGGGGGGTTGCTTAGCTTTGACAGTATGTCCGCCTCTGCATTCTCCACCCGCGATACCTGCTCAAGCACCACTTGTTCGAATTGTGCGGTCTGCTCCTCCGCCAGCTCTCTGTAGACCTTCATTCTTTCTTCCCTGGTTTCTGCCGTGCCGTTCATCTGGGTTACCACCAGCTGGCTGTCCATTCTCACCTTCAGACGAGCTGCTCCGAGGGCTTTCGCGCATTTTAGTCCTGCGATCAGCGCCTCGTATTCAGCCTCGTTGTTGGTGACCTTGAACTCGAATTTCATAGAGTAATAGGCCTTGAAACCTTCGGGGGAAGTGATCACTGCTCCTCCGCCGCAGCCCCGCGCACTCGAGGCCCCATCGGTGTACATCTCCCACCAATCGTCAAAGTCATTGTTGTCATGGTTTCTGTCCTCGGTGCGCGCGGTGCACTCCGCAATGAAGTCCGCCAGAGCCTGCCCTTTGATCGTCGGCCTCGGCTTGAAGTCCACGTCATACTGGCCGATCATCAAGGACCACTTGGTTATCCTTCCGCTTGCCATTGGGTTCCTGAGGACTGTGGCGAGGGGCTGAGTTGTGTAGATAGTCACCGGATGTGCCTGGAAATACGGCGCCAGGCGCTTGATGGATGCAATCAAGGCGAGGATCGTCTTTTCCATCAGCGTGTACCTTGTCTCGGGGCCGTTCAGCGCCTTACTTACAAAGTATATTGGTCGCTGAATGCCTTCGGATTCCTTTAGCAGCACGGCGCTTACGGCCAGCTCGGCCACCGCCAAATACATATACAATCTCTCTCCGGGATCCGCCTTGGTGAGGACGAGCGGAGAGGAGAGATATGCCTTGAAATCCTCGAAAGCAGCCTGACACTCCGGGGTCCATTGGAAGGGATTGGCCTTCTTCATGATCTGGAAGAAAGGGATCGCCTTATCGGCGAGCTTGGATAAGAATCTGCTCAGGGCCGCCAGACGCCCGGTGAGTCGCTGCACGTCTTTTAGGTTCTTTGGGGCCTCCATGTCCATAATTGCCTTCACCTTCTCCGGGTTAGGCTCGATCCCCCGCTCGCTCATCATGTAGCCGAGGAATTTGCCGCCCTTGACGGCGAAGGCACACTTTTTCGGATTGAGCCTCATGCTGGCCCTCTCCATGATGCTGAAGACCCTCTCCATGTCCTGGACATGGTCCTCCTTTTTCTTGCTTTTGATTAGGATGTCATCCACATAAGCTTCCATCGTCTTTCCAAGCACGTCTTTGAATAACATCCCAATCATCCTCTGGAAAGTAGCCATGGCGTTCCTCAGGCCGAATGGCATGACGATGTAGCAATACACGCCGTCCGCCGTGACGAACGCCGTTTTTTCGGCATCATCGGGATGCATGAACACCTGATGGTAGCCCCTGAATGCGTCCATGAAGCTGAGCAGCTCGCAGCCCGCCGTCTCATCCACCAGCAAGTCGATCCTCGGTACAGGATAAGGGTCCATCGGACAAGCTTTGTTGAGGTCCGAGTAATCGACGCACATCCGCCAAGTGTTGCCCTTCGGGGCTAGTACCACGTTGGCCAGCCACTCCACGTGGATGACCGGCCGGATGTGTTGAATGCTGAGGAGAGTTGCCGTCTCCTTCCTGATGAAATCGCGTCGGTCGGCCGCCATGTATCTTTTCTTTTGCTGCACAGGCTTGACGTCCGGCCGCACGGCGAGTCTGTGGCATATGAGGTTGGGGTCGATGCCCGGCATGTCCTCCGGCCCTCTGGCGAACAGGACTTGGAACCTCCGCAGGACAGCTATGACCCCCGCCCTGATTTCCGGCTCTAGATCTGCACCGATGGACACCTTCCTGTCCGTCGGGTCGTCGAGCTCGATTTCCTCCAGCAGAGTTGCTGGTTCCAGATGGGCGTCCAAGTCGGCCTGTTTGGCCTTTTCGGAGATGCTGTTGACCCGAGCCTCCCGCTCGTTGAGCTTCTCCATGGCCTTCGTGTAGCAGGCCCTGGCCATATGTGGGTCCGTACGTGCCACCCCCACTCCAGTGTCGGTGGGGAACTTGATGCATGAATGTCGTACGGAGCATATGGCCCCCAAGTCTTCCAAGCCGGGTCGGCCCAAAATGGCGTTGTGGGCGCACTTCAAGCGGACCACGACGAACGTCATGCTGATCCGGGCAGTGTGAGGGCCGTCGCCGACCTCTACCGGTAAAACGATGGTGCCTTCAGCGTCAATGCAGTCCCCGGTGAAGCCGGACAGCGGGGTGCGTAGGGGGTGCAGCATGTCCTTCCGGAGCCTCATTCCTTCGAAAGCCTCCCAGTAGAGGACGTTCACACTGCTTCCGGTATCAACGAGGACGCGACGGACGATAGCATCGTTCACGTCCATGCTGATCACCAGCTCGTCTCTGTGCGGCGCCGGTGACATTGGCAGGTCAGCGGGGCCGAAGGTAACTGCCTCGACTCTATTGCGCTTGGTGGGGGGTGCCGATACGGAACCCACATAGAGTGATCTCTCAAATTTTTTCCGCTCGGCGGGTGTATCCCCTGTCTCAGCGCCCCCGAAGATCACCTTGATCTCCAACTTCTTTTTCTCGCCCTTCGGGCCGAGGGATCCCTCCGGACGTTTATCTGTACTTCGATAATCCACGTCCTGAGGTTCTGCCTCGCGCCGATCGTCGCGGCGCCATGTTTTGTGCCTTGAGTTCGGCTTCTGCTGGCTGTTTTTGTTCAGCAGCTGGGCGAACTCGCCCAGGTACCCCTGACGGATCAGCTCGTTGATTGCTTTCTTTAATTGGCTGCAATTATCCGTCAGGTGGCCGGTCCTCTGATGGTATTCACAGTAGGCCGATTGGTCGTGCCCCATATACCTCTTCATATCTTGAGGCTCCATAAGGAGGCCCTTGTCCTTAATGGCCTCGAAGATCTGGCTCACTGGGTAGGCCAAGGGAAAATAACGGTCGTCCGGCCGCGCTTGGCTGTCTCCGGACGGAGCCTTCCAAGGGACCATTGCCCCGTCCACCCTCTTCTTTTTGTTTGGGGGGGAGGGGTTGGTTCCTGGTCCGGGTCCGAGTCTGTCTGCCATCTTCCGTGGCTGGACCGCGGGAATTCCGTCCCGCTGCCTGATCTCCTCCTCAATGGAGGCATACTTCTGGGCCCGAGCAAGAACCTCGGTGTAGCTGGTGCCGGGATTCCTCCTCAGGTCCCGGTACAGATCCCCTGTGGCCAGCGCACTAGTGAACATATTGGTGGCCAGACGTTCGTCCAGATCGTCGACCTGCAGTACCTCGTCCCTCCACCTCACAAGGAATCTAGCCAGCGGTTCGTCGCGCCCTTGCTTGATGTGGGCAAGAGCCGTGACATCCTTCCTGGGGGTGGTGCTGGCAGCAAATTGTGCCATGAACTGCCGGGAAAGCTGTTCGTATGAGTCAATGGTGCCTGGCCTCAACTGGCCGAACCATTCCTGAGCCGGCCCCCTGAGGGTGCTGAAGAACAATCTGCAGATGGCCTCGTCCGATGCTCCCAGCATGGACAGGTTCCCTTGGTAGCTTATCAGATGGGCCTTAGGATCACCAGCCCCATTATACACCAAGTTCCCCGGGGGTCTGCAATCCCGGGGAATCTCGACGCTCATCACCCGTGGGGTAAAAGGTGATGTGAGAGAGAACGAGGGTGTGGCCGAGCCGGCGTCCGCCCGCCTGTTCATCTCGGCTATTTGCCTCTCCATGGCTTCCAGCCGTGCGTCCTGTGCGGCCCTTCCGGGGGACACAGGGGGCGCGGCTTCGGGGGTGGCATTCTGCTGAGCGGCCACAACATCGTGCGGCCGCCTGAAGATCTGTGCACCTCGCCGTTGGAAACGTCGTCCAACGGTGTTGACCCTTGGGGTCTCGTCCCCCCGCGGAATCTGGCGAGGAGCTGATGGTGTGAGAGCCCTGGATGCAGCGATGCTGACCCTGGTCCGCCCTCCCGTTTCACGGGAGCCTGAACCCCCACCTAGCCGCTCGTGGACTGAGGGCCGGTGGTCACTGGATCCTGTCGTATCATCGTACGACTGCATGCGGCGTATGGGAGAGAGGGGCGTTCGTTGAGTGCTTGCAGAGTACACCTGCTCTCGGGCCTCCCGCTCGTCCGCCATGCGACGCATGGTGTCTGCGAGTTCACGCATGAGGCGGGGATCCTGCCTGGCCTCCAGGGGAATGAGGTCAGTGATACCCCCGTTTCCCCCTGAAGTCCATATTGTTGCGGATAGTTCCGAGTTCTGGCCGCGATTCCGGCGGCTCGACTCCAGGCGCTCGGAGAGATCACGCTGGGCGTTGCTTCCTGACATCGTACTTGCTGTAGGTAGACTTAGTAGCTGTTTGGGAGAGTTTCTGGAAACTTTTTGTTCAGTTTCCCACAGACGGCGCCAGTGTTGAGGTTTATTCCTTCAACCCGTGGACCCAACACGTAAGCCCAAAGGTTTCGAATGGGGTGGATGTATGGTTATCTAGCCCAACAACTATTAGATGAATCAGGAAACAAGAGTAATAGCAGGCAATGTAAATAGGTATTATTAACTTCGTAATAACTCCCCTAAGTACAATCTACTTGCTCACAAAGGCACGTCGGCCGTTCGTCTTACAAGGCAGTTAGCAATGCTGCGAGTAAGAATGCTGAAGCTAGTATGCTAAGAATAGAAAGTTGCCAACCCTTTACAATGAAATAAATGCTCCTATTTATACCCGCCAATGGGCAGGTGGCTGTACTGACGTGGCAGCCTGTGGACCGCTGGTGTCCCAACTACCAAATCTTTAGCATTAAATGCACTTCCCGCCAGAATCTAGGTTTCCCGCCGGAATAGTGGGGACGTTCGTCCACCCGGGAAGTGAGTTGGATTCCTCCAAGTGACCCTCGAGGGATATTGGCTGTTCGTCTCCTGGCCTTGATGGATTCTCACCATGTGGGCTGGGTCTCCTCCGATGACTATGGGCTTGCTCAAGAGACGTTCGTCGTCACCCCTGATGGCCCGTGGCTCCGCTCCTTGTCCCTGCTTAGACGCTCGTCGGGATGAGCCGCTGGACCTGAGTCCTCCAACACCAGACGTTCGTCCATGCTTAAACTACATGGGCCTGTGGGCTGGCCTAGTTTCTAGCTGGACGATCGTCTGGCAAAATGGGTTAGTGGGCCGGACCTCGGCTTGGGCCCTTAACCCAACACAGGGAAAGGCAAAGCTGATTAGAAGATGAGCTCCGATTTATGTCATTGAGAATGGCAAACTATACAAAAGGAGTTAAAATGGCGTGCTACTCAAATGTTTAAGGCCAGAACAAGCTCAGCAAGTGATCAAAGAACTACATGAAAGAACTTGTTCATCCCATCAAGGTGCGTTCACTTTAAGTAGGGAAGCCCTGTTACAAGGATATTTTTGGCCTACGATGATAAGGGACTGCGTGGACTTTGCACGAAAATGTGAGGTCTGCGAGAAATTTCAAACGAACCCAGGCAGGCCTGCCACCCTATATCATCCTATCAGCAGAGCGATCCCCTTTTCAAGGTGGGGAATAGACCTCGTTGGGCCCTTTCCCCTGGGATCAGGAGGTAGGAAATTTGTGATAGTCGCAATTGACTATTTCACGAAATGGATTGAGACCGAACCAATGGCCACCATCACTGCGGAGCAATGCAAGAGATTTGTCTGGAGAAATATATTTTTCCGATTTGGTGTTCCCATGCAAGTTATCACAGATAATGGAAAACAGTTTGACTCCGAGCCATTCAAAGAATTCTGCGCACAATGGGGTGTTGAGGCCAACAGAGCACCTGTTGCTTACCCCCAATGCAATGGACAAGTGAAAAACGCTAACAGGACTAATGTTAGCAGCCTCAAAAGGAAGTTGGAGTCAATGGGAACAACTTGGGTGAATGAACTCAACAATATACTTTGGGCATACCGAACTACCCCAAGGAAGGCTACTGGTGAGACTCCCTTCGCCTTAACATATGGGTTTGAAGACCGAGCACCGCTGGAGTCCCTAGTCCCAAGTAGAAGGGTTGAAGATTATGATCCTAAAAATAACGAGGACATGCTCAGGGCAGAACTACACCTGATTGAGGAAAGAAGGGACAATTCGTTCATCAGAGCTAAAAACTGTAGAAGGCAAGTTAAAGAATACCACGACGCAAGGGTTAGACCAAGGCTATTTCAGGTCGGGGACCTAGTTCTAAGAAGGAGGTCTGCTAGCAAACCTTTGGAGAGCGGAAAGTTTGCCAAAAAATGGGAAGGGCCCTACAAAATCAAAGGAATCGTAGGACCTGGGACTTACAAGCTAAGCAATCCTAAAGGGAAGCTGATAGAGAGAGTGTGGAATTCCGAGCACTTGATGAAATTCTACCAATAGGTTTGTAATCCTGATTTAAAGAATTATTCAATAAGAGTTTGTTTTCTTTCACAAAGTCCTTGTAAAATTGCGAAGGTTTTTTAACCACCCAAAAAAAAAACTGAGGCTACTACGCCTAATTTTGGTACTCGCAAAAGTCAAAGTACAAATTCCAGACTCATCCAAATTCCGCAGCTCAACTTTGTCTTGTCAAAAGACGAGAGCAAGAATACAAGATCTTTTTCAAGATCAAACAGCTTTATAAACAAAATCAAATTTCCTCAAAACAGGAAAAGATGGCCTTTCTCAAGGCCAAGACTGATTTACAAAGGCTAAGGATGAACTAAGGGAATTAACTTTGCACCGGAGAGGCCACCAGCCCTCGCCAATTAAAGAGGTTCATTACAAGGCTTAATTGACCTAAAAGTAAAGAACCCACCCTACTTCGGTTCAGAAAATAAGAACTTAGGGTTAAAATTGGTAAAGCGCTCCGACGCGGTTCAGAAATTAAGAACCCAAGGAAAGCGACCTTGACCGGGAAATCAGGGCTAAAACTATGAGGACAAAGTGATAGAAAACAAACTTATCTATTTGGCAACCGAAGTCAGACCTTGAGGTCAGGACAGGGCTACCAGGTCGTATGGATACAGGAATAAAAGACGGATTCCCAGACAATCAAACAAGGTGGAGTCCAGCCTCAAAACTCAGGGCTGAGTGGTTCCAGTCAAGTTTAAAGAAGGTCAAACCAGGGCAATAGATTGGACCAAAAGACAAACAACATCATATACATGCCAAAAAAAAGTGCAAAAAGGTAATTGTTTGTTTACAAGCCACCCCGAGGGTAGAAAACGCTGCAAGCACGCAGGCTTGGAAAAAGTGTTTTCTCCAAACAGACAAATAAAGAAGCATTTACAAGACAGGTGTTGGGGCGTCCCCCTAAACGCCACCTGGCATTAGTCAACCTCTACACAGCATCAACAGAGCTCTACTCATCCGAGGTAAAGCAAACAGCCTGGGAGGCCGGCCTCATCCCAACACCCCTCGTCAGGAGCAGCTGGAGGTCAACAGCTGGCTTTGCAAGAGTCACAGCGCCGCTTCCTTGTTCTTGCCCATCAGGTTCCCCAGAGGCTGTCACCATACTTCCTGAAATTGAAAGGAAACAGGGTCAGAGAACAGACCATTGGGATAGTAAAAAGAGGAATTACCAGGACAAGAACTAACAGGGCTGACCTGAGGAAAAAGTGAGCACCACCTTCCCGTCATCGCCCAGATGATGACCCAACCGATAAGGCGATCCCATGTCAAAGAGACCAGCAGCATACTCAGTTCCCTGACTAAGGAGGGGCACGTCCCATCGACGGATAAACTCTACCCATTTATTACCAAAGAGGAGTTCACCGTTTGTTGGGGTCATCCACACCCATTTTTTCTCCCAATTCGGATCAAGGCTCGGAAAGGGTGGACCCTCGAACAGGTGATGGCCCGGCCTCTGAGAAAGCGCGAGGAAGCCCTTAGCAAGAAGACGCCAGATCGGGCTGCATAGAAGAAGTGCCGGAAAAGCTTTGTGCTCAACAGGATCCGCAGATGCGTGCAGCGGGCCATGACCCAGCCAGGAAGAGGTAAGCCACCGGAGCAAACTGGTCGGGGACAGCACGGTAATAAGCAAGGATGCTCGGCACGAAGGGATGAAGGGGAAATTTGAGGCCCATATGCAGGCTGGATAGGTGTACTCCAAAGTGAAGAGGAGAAGGGGGCTCCACGATATTTTGCCCGGGAATAGGGCGTGAGCAAACCACGCTAGGGCCCGTCAGGGCAACGGCCGTTTCAAATTCAGCATCGGAGAGGGCCGCCGCAGTCACGGCCCGGGCTCTATCGGCCGGAAGATAAAAGTGGGTAGACGTATCATGAAGGAACTTTGAAACAGAAGAAGATTTAGAGGAAGACATGATGAACCGAAGTTTCGCTCAAAGGGATCAAAGAATGTCCGAATGATGAAAGAATATGAAGGGGAGTTATTTTTATATAGTGAAACCCTAAAACGCTTCGTAATCGTTGGAACCGTTTGGGACTCGTCTCGAAAACTGTTCAAAACCGCTTGGGAAAACCGCATCTGGAGATTCGAGAAGTCGGGAAATGGAAAGCCGGTTGAAAGTTGAGCCCGAGGTGCAGGCCTACTTCGGCGCAATAATTACTGAGGCAGAGCTACAGCCGCCTATAGAGATTCAAAATTTGAAATCCAGTAAACCGCTTCAATTCTACTCCTCCAAATTTAGCCCTACTAATTTTGAGGAGTAGGGGGGCTCGTGATGGTACCATGGATTCAGGCCATGGCCCAATTACGTAGCCCAGCCCATAAACGGGATCAGCCCTTAACGGGATCAGCCTAATTACAGGATTAGCCCATAAACGGGATTCATGAATAAAAGCCGCTCAGCCCATTAGGAATTAGGCCCACGATAGGAACCCACAGCCAGTCCGGGCTGGACAGCAGACCTCGAGCCTGGGCGGATTTCTAGTGAGGTCGGGATATTCCTAGGGCTTACGTGGCGAGCTATCACTCGTTGATAAATATTTGGCAACATGCAGAACTCATCCGGAGGACGGCGACTAAAAAGAGAAAGTAATCGTGTGGGAATCAAGCATCGAAGAGTTCTATTTGAGCAAGAATATATTTCATTAATTGAGCATTTATTGTATTAGATTCCTCCCATAACTTTGCCTTCTAATCTCTATAAATACTTGATGTAAACACCCTATCAAAGGGATCGGACCCCCGATAAAATTCTGAACTGAGTCTAGACCATTGCTAGTTCTCCGGAATAAAGAGTGAAACTGCCTTACGCTGCCATATTATTCTCATATTTACGTATATTTAGCTCTCGTAGTTGGCTTTAACTCCATCATCAACAAAGCTCAGAAAATAGAAAAGTAAGAACTCTTTATACTTTTATACATTTTATACGGGAAGTAGAAGTTGTTTTCGTTTTTAAATGAGCTGACATTATTTTTCATTTTCAACATGTTTTTTATTTAAAAAAAAACGATTTGTGCTTAAAATGCAAAAAAAACTAACTAATATAGGAGAACTTATTTGACAATTTCCTTTTTGAATTTTTTTTCTAGATTAAAATAAGGAAATGACACTATTTCCTTTTTCAATTCAGTATTGTTCTTTAAAAATAAATAACAAAAAGTTATTTGTACAGATAATTTGCATACATTTCTTGTACACACTATCTAGTTACCTTTGTACACAAATAACTTGTTCACAAACTGTCTGTGTACATATGGTAAATAGTAGTGTATATAGGGGTTGTGTACAATTTGTGTAGAAATAGGTGTAAACAAAATGAGCAACTAACGACCAAGCTATAACATGAATACAGAGTAGCTACAACAATGCTTGATGCACCCACCATGCTTGTGAAGTTAGTTGCTCGTCTATGAATTCGATTCACAGACAATATTTTGTTTGTGCAAAATATTATCTATACACCGGAGTTCAAAGACAAAAAAAAACATTTCATAAACATAGGTGAGTACAAAAGTGAGTATAAGAGTGGGTACAACCATCATTTTTGGAGTACCAAATAGGCCGGCCTTTTGATTTATGGCCTTGACCCTGACGTGGCCAGTTGCCGACCACATTTGACTGGTTGATGATTTAGGTGAAAGACTAGGCTGCTAAGACATCTCCAAGGGTCAATCATAGCTCTACGCTCCTTAACATAAGAAAGAAAAAAATAGATATCACATCCGTATTTGTATTTCAAATAAAAATGCAAATCGTGAATTTTAAACTTTATTGACGCAATAATTAAATTAGTTCTAATCAATTAAAATTTATAAATTCAAAAATTATATGGAGAGTTATATAAAATCACAAACCCAAATTACAATATAATAAATAATTGATATACTAAATGAAGAGAAAAAATATTTTTATATACGCTATTTTGTACACGTTTTTTTGCATAGATCCTCTATTTTTCCTATATACACAAGTATTTGCTGATCTGGTTTGATTTGATTTGCTTAAGCCTGATATGATCTGGGGTGAACTGGTTTGGTCTAATAACTGTCTAATTTCTGTGTATTATATAGATGTCCAAGTATGATACGAAGTATAATATAATCTGTTTAAGTCTTGTCTGATGCTTGAAGATCAAAAATAGTGGAACCGAAAACATCCTTAGAAGATGCTATATCATAATTGTTTTTATATTGCGTTATCATAATAACATATTACTACGAACTATATATTTTTGTGTTGGCATTATAAGGGATTACAATTAATTAATAAAAATGTTTGTATGCATTCATCTTTAAAAGGACGACAGTTTTAATGGGAAAAGATGACTATTAAAAAAGTTCACCTACCGAAGGATCCAATGAAAAATGGCCCTCGATCCCTAGCTACGGAGTATTTTTTTATTTATAGGAGTATGAGACGAGAATATATATAATAAATAGAAGCAAGCTTGGCCCAGCGTTACCGGCTAAATAAGGATCGGAGAAGAGAAAAAAGAAAAAAAGAGTCGAGTCCGTATTAGAAGCAAGGTAATTAAGGCAGGTATGGCGTCGGAGACAGTGAAGCTGGTGGGCGCATGGCCGAGCCCATACGTGATCCGGGCTCGGGTCGCCCTCAACCTGAAATCCATAGACTACGATTTCCTGGAGGAGAAATTCGGGACGAAAAGCGAGCTTCTGCTGAAACACAATCCGGTGTACAAGAAGATCCCGGTTCTGGTTCACCACGACAAGCCGGTGTGCGAGTCGCTCATCATCGTGCAGTATATTGATGAGGCCTGGACTTCCGGTCCAAACATCTTGCCCGCCCATCCCTATGACCGGGCCATCGCCCGCTTCTGGGCCACTTTCATTGACGATAAGGTAACAAACTATTTTATTTGAGAATGCAAGTTTTCATTCATATGCTCCCAACAACTTTATCCCTGTCTCACTAACTAATTTGAGATTCTTGATTCCAATGGGAGCAAAATATACTTCCTCCGTTCGGATTTAAATGCAACATAGCAAAACGCACAGATTTTAAGAAACGAAGCAAAAGTAATTTTCTTCCCATGCTACCCTTAGCTTGAATACTCGGATACATAAAAAGTGATGCACTGTTTAATAGCCTGCACTGTATGCCAGGCTACTCTAGCTACCTACGATTTTTTAATTTCCTTCTTGATAAACTTAATATGCTTCTTCTCTTCTCTTCTCTTTGAACTCATCTAATGCGTGAGAACTTGACGGTGGCTGATCGTGGACGAGATTCCAACTTGATCAATAATTTTCTGCCGAATCGAAAAAAAAATCTGATGTACGTAATCCCTCTTTTGTAAAATTGGTACTAGTAATTTTTTAATCTTGATCTGCGAGAAGTATGTAGAACACCGAATTTGTGTTGCCTCCTAGGGCTGAGCACGGATCTGGGAATTCCCGTTCCGTACCGAAGAACCGTCCCGAACCGTTCCAGAACCGATAGAACCGGAAAAATGTAAAACCGTACCGTACCGTACCGAACTTTTTTAATAATATGGTACGGTACCGGTTCTTAGTGAGAACCGTTCTGGAACCGTCCCGGAACCGTATTGTCCCGAACCGTCTCGTACCGTCCCGAATTGTCCTGAAAACTAGTGTTAGATTATAATAATATATTATAAATTTATACATAATATATTACCTATTATAAATATTAGTGACCATATGTCCCGAAAACTAGTGTTATAATATGATAATACGACGTATATATATTATATATAACATAATACCGAGTATAAATGTCAGGGATCGTATGTCCATATATTATAAATATGCAATCTTGCATATTCTTTGGGCGTAATCCAATTATTAAGACCAGATAGCACTAAAAGTTAGCTTTAAAACAAAAACAATACTAAATGATATAAACAATGCTATGTAAATAGGGTTAATTATATTTCATGGGGGTTAATTATTTACGAACCAAATAACATCGAAGAACCGTACCGAACCGTACCGAACCGTGCTGAAAATTGGTACGGAACGGGACAGGTTCCATATATATGCGGGACGGTACCCGTTCTTGATTTTTAAAAGAACCGTACTTTGGGACGGGACAGGTTTTTTGAAATAACCGTCCCGTACCGTTCCATGCTCACCCCTATTGCCTCCATACGGATCTTGAGGGAAAATCGTCGTTGACATAAGGAGAAGATTTAGGGGTGTTTGGAACTGATTCTGCTTCTGCTTCTTTTTCAAAGCAGAAGCAGAATCAGAATCAGTTTTCAGAAGCTGGTACCCCCCAGCTTCTAAAAAAACTGATTCTGGGAGTAAATTAGGCACCAGAAGTGCTTCTGGAATTTCACCCAAACACTCCAGCTTCTGCTTCTGCTCCTTGAAGGAGCAGAATCAGTTTTGAGAATCAGATCCAAACACCCCCTTAGCAGCAGGGGCGGAACTAGCCTAGTGCCCGGAGGTGCTCGTGCCCCTGCAGTGATTTTCTTTTCTTTTTTATAGTATGTATATATATTAATATTTAATTAGTTGAGCCCCTGCAGCTCAATCCCAAAAGCCCTTTACTTTAGCCCTTTCCCTTGTGCCAGCCTAATCCCGGCCAAAAACCCTTCCCTGGGGTAGCCTGCAGCCCAACTCCATAAAAGCCAAAACGCCAAGACCCCAAATCCCAACTCAAGCGGTCAAGCCCCTGCACCTGCACCTGCGTAACTAAGTTCAAGCTACAATACAATGACAGAAACTGAAAATGAGTCAGCGTTCAAGGATTCAAGCTACTGCGTTCAAGCTACAACGCCAACAAATCACATCAACAAGTAGGAACTAGAATAACGATTAGCGACTGCGTCTCTAGACTCTTGGACGGCTGGACTCCTGATAAGCCTTTTAATGCCTTAACCTAATTATTTTTCTGATAATTTCGTTTATAAATTTTACTTATTGAATTGTACGTATTTGTTTAATTCAAATAAAATGTTAATTGTTAAAAACTTTTATTTGTTGAATTCAAATACAATGTTGAATTTTTTGGCAATTATGTTTTGATAAGTGATAATCTCATTAAAATGTTAATTATATTGTAAATTTATAATTGTGTATTTATTGATTTAGTTAATGTTGTTAATTTTTTATAATGTAACTTATACAATAATACTCATATTATTTCAATTGTAATTGGTCCATTTTGTTTGACAAAATATCACTATGTTACGATATTATACACCGGAACCTAAACAACCAAGCATTGGTGGTTCTTCATAGAATAATTTAGTTTCTTCATCAGATAATGTCATTCCTAACAATGACAATAATGTTAAAAATGCTCGAATAGAAGTTGAATTGTCCGATGATGACATTGTTGGTGATTTGCGCAACAAGATGGGAGAAGAAAACTTAACATATTGCTTGATGTGTTACATTAAGAAAGATGTATTTGTTAAAATTGAGAATGAAGTCAGTATGAAGTAATTTCAGAGTATGGCACCTCAAAGACAAAGATTGCCGCCTCTCAATGAATCTTTCATTTGAAATGTCAGGTTCTAATCAAAATTAAGATACTCTTTAAGTAGTTATTTTATTTAAATTTTATAGTTTTGTTTATTCCTATATTCGTGATGCATATGATTTTTTTAGAGTAGTACGTAGTACGTAGTACGAAGTATAGGATTTCTTTGTTATGGTGCCCCTGCGAGTCACGAGTCCTGGTTCCGCCACTGTTTAGCAGTATCTGGGTTGTAGCTCGAGAGTAGTAAGCGGGGCAAAATCAATATCGTTGTTGTCCGCATCTTCCATCTTGGAGAAATTAATTAAGAAATTGGAGAAATAAATTAAACATCAGGTCGGTCGCGAAGCAATGAGAAGATATTGTAGAAGAAATTGATGATGGATTGATGTGGAAGATACGAGAAGGCTGAATAACTAAAGTAGACTACTCTATATGTGGGTGAGTGGAGATGTGGCAGAATTGAGAGATGACCTGATGGGTTGTGGCCGGACGGGTTTACAATTAAGTGAGGATACATAAGTCATTTTGGCTATTATTTATTTCCTAAAAGAGAAACGTTGCAATTAATTTGAAACTGCCGAAAAAGAGAAGTGTTGCATTTATTTAAGAACGGAGGAAGTATAACCCCTATATGTACAATAGTGTTTATTTCCCCCAAAAGGAGTAAAGTTATGTTACTGTTCTAACTTACCATAAGAAATTCATATTTTTATTTATAATAAAATCATCAAAAAGATTAAATAAAAAATTTAAGAAAAACAAAACCATACAAAAACAAAAACAAAAACTGAAAACTTCAACAAAATAAGATAAAACACACAAAAATATAGACGTCTTTCCTACCACCTCCCTGCACCACCAACTCCAATCGGTGTTAAAAATGTCATCTTCTCTCATATGTTACTTCTCTCTGAAAAATGACATATGTTACTTTGAAACTGTCATCGATCAAGATGTCACTACTAATGTATGTTGACATTATTTTTGTTGATCAGAACTGGTAGTGTTGGGAGGTGACAAATTTTACTTTTTTCTATTTTAATTTTTTTCTTTTCTAATTTTTTGAATTTATTAATTTTATTTGATATTTATTTTCGTGTTTTTCTCTTTTTACAATTTTATTATAAATAAAATTATTTTCTTATTATCAGAAATAAAAATATGATTTGTATCAAAACATAGCTAGGCAAGGATAGGACTGAGAAGTTACTCAAATTTAGGAAATTTAGAATTTGTACTCCTATTGTCAGTGAAAAATGACTCAGGAGGGTCAAAACTTAATTAAATACGTAGTACAAAATAAAAGGGACGGGTCATTTTAAAAAAATAGCTGAGTTAAATGTGTCAAATGTAACTTTTTTTGAATGAAGGGGGCTTATATTAGATAAAAAGCATTCAAAAAGGAGCTAAAATAACAAAAGCTCCAACAATAACCATCCGCCCTTGGGCCAGACTCTGAGTTAACCACCTTTAAAAAAGCAGTATAACTCACTGATCCTAAAATGGCATAATTGAGCCAACAATTGTTACTGCAGAACTCTCATCCCACGATTCTAATGCAAGAGTCTTACAGAAACAAACCAAACAAAAGCTGAAAACAACAGTCTTAACATGGAATTTAAAGTAGCAGACAATAAAAAATAAAATCCAGAATGAAAAAACTTCAAATCCATCTTCACGCATGCCATCGGCGAGTCTAAGAGCTCAGGCCCGCCTCCTCCCCGTTTTTTGCGCTATCCAATGCCATCTCCTCTCCTGCTTCTTCCTCCTCTGTTGGATCCCTCCAGATTCTCATGCGCTTCTGGTCAGCTGAAGCCTCTCCTGCACTACTACTCTATCCCTCCTTTGTGCCGTTGTTCTCAGACTCCCTTGTAACCTCCCTACGCCCTTGTCTCATGATGCCTTCATATTCTTTCGAGACTCTTTCCTGCTGGCTTGGACCCCCCTGTTTTTCCACCAACCACTTGCTGCCACTAGCTGGGTTACTCTTTCCCCCTCCTCATGCTCTAAGTTCCGCAGTAAAATTGTTATCAAGAGTAATATCTTCCATGTATTTTAATGGGCAAAATTTTCAGTGTCCCATGATCCCACAAATAAAACAGAAATTTGGTAGTTTCTCATACTTGAAATCTACCCAGTGCTCCTTCTCTCCTTTTGACAAAGTAAATCCCCTTTTAAGGGTTTTCTCACATTCATCTTAACCCTAACTCGCAGATAAGAACTCCACTTTCCCGAAACACGGGGAAAGGGGTGATTTACCGAAACACGGGGAAAGGGGGTTGGGGTTGCCAAAACACGGGGATTAATCTAGGGTTTACCAAAACAAGGGAGTCGGAACTCCCAATTCCGACTAGAAGTTAGGGTTTCAAAAAAGCCAAAAAATTCC